GACCCACTATTTATAAGTGAATCCTTCACCTATACATGATGAACGATTTACTATTGAGCAAAATTGAGTCAAAGTATAAAGAAGAAGATATGAATATAAGAAATACTGTATAACACGAATTTATTCGGTATAAATTTAGTCATAACAAGTTCAGTGATGATGGGGTTCAGCCAAGTATATCTTTTGCTGACATGCTAGAATAACTTTTTATTATTATCTCTAATGCACCTGATTCCATCAAAACTGCTTAGTTAGATCACTTTTCCTAGTGTTGCACCCTTTATAAAAAGAAAAAAAATGGAGTGCATCTTCAATGTCTGAGGGTTTCATATCATAGACAGAAAGTAGAGGGACTAAATCGGCTGCGCTAGTTTTCTGTTACCCAAGAACCTACAGCTTGTACAAGGTCTGCTCTGTGTGGGTTCCTACAGGTTATGAACAACTAGGACAACATGTGACAAAAGTTAAGGACAAAGAAACTTAATTTAGCTTTTACCATAAGATTAATATTCATTCACAAACCGATTTGGTATAAAAAATATAATTCAAGAATTTCGATATTATGATTGGATGCTTTTAAATGTTATTTCCAATTTCACAAGCATTGAACAATGGAAGCAATGAGCAATAGAAAATAAATAACAGCTCCATGAGTATGAGGGAACAAAATAACCTATTTCGACAGTCTTTCCACTCTTTAAGCTTTGGAAGTGCCTCCATGGTCCCTCTCAAGATGCTCCACAAGGGACACTGGATCACGAAAACCTCTACTACATTTGGGGCAGACATCGAGTGTCACCTTCAGAACACCAGTCCTTTCATGGACCCTCTCCACATGATCAACTAGAGATGTAACTGAAGAGAACTTTGCATTGCACTGTGGACACTGCTCCACTTGCTCACTTCCACTGCTACTTTTGTTACTGCTGCTGCCACTTTGCCCCACCTGCAATGCTTGGCTAAATTCACTACTCAGTTTTGACATTCCGGCTTCAGCTGTTGCTCGAACAGATGAAGCTGCCTTGAGGAAGCTTGTAGCCCACTTGGATGAAGATGAAGCCGGAGCTTGGTTTGCTTTCGAGTCTTCTTTTCTACTCCTGTTCAAAAAACCCATAAACTGGAAAGCTGTGTTCGGTCTTTTAGGACCAGGACATTGGTGATCAGGTCCAAACCGATGCTTCAAACAGTGTTCCACAGTACAGTCTCGGCATCTGATTGTATTTGAGAATGTTAGGATCTCTCTACAACGGGGGACAGGGCATTTTCTCTTCTTTGTGACTTTCTCGTAGTTTGATGGATCACAATCAGTATTAACATGTGCCTCCCAAGTAATATTTGGGTCAACATCAGAAACCAGATTAACCCCTTTTGCACAGAGTGGGCAGACGATGACAGTAACATCATTTTTATTGGCTTTTGGACAATGATGTTTGTTGTAACTTCGGTGCTCTAGACAGAACACCTGTGACATATTTCACAAACCTTTTCAGCAAATTTTTTTTTTTTTGGGGGGGGGGGGGGGGGGGGAGGAGAGAGATTTCAAAAGGGTAAAACGTAATAAATTCACAAGCGAGAAAACAACAAAGAGAAAAGAACACTCCACAAAGGAGGAGATCAAAAGTCTGCATCTGCCACAGCGCAACCACCACCACCAACAATTATATAGTACCTCTTGACAGATGAAACATTAAAAGCTATCTTAATATAACAAAGATATGAAGCTACAAACTTGCACGAGACACATTCACTGGCCTAAGATGGTAAAGCTGGCACAAGATCAACAAATCAAATTTGAACAATGCATTCAACTTCAAACCTTTGAGGATAAGACTAACAGACCAAAAATAGAGAACTATCATATTCCCAAATGCCATCAGAGAGAACCACGGATCTTCCAGGGAATATTATCTATCAAAAGTCAGCTTGAAAAACCAAATGTAGAAGAAAGGTTCATCATCACGGACATTAAGGTATCGGACTGCTCTTCCATCATCCAGATAATAATACTCTACTGAAAAGCAAGTCTAATGGTGAATGAAAGAATGTTATATGTGCAGTGATTGTACATTAAGAAAGAAGAAAAGATCATTAGTTTAAAACTGTTTCCAATTTGGCACTTATAATGGGAATCCTAAAGCTTCAATCTTCCCTACTGAGACTACCATAGACTACGTCCAACCCAAACTAACTGAATGAGTAGACTGTCAAAATAAGGCATATCATCCGAAATTGTAGGGATTCAGTATGGTACCAAATAATTCAGTCTCGTACTTATATTTACAACTCTGTCTAGTCAAGGCATCACTCAAACAGATTAAGTTACAACCAAATAGTGTCGAGTTAGAACCGATCCAATGACACTTGGGACCTCATTGGGTTGTAACTTTGACCTCATTGATCATAATTATCCCAAATTATTTGATATCTAATATTACAACTAGTCAAATTCTCAACTCATAAAAACACAATAAAAGTCAAGATTCAATTTTTATTTACTTTAATCCAATGACACAAAATTAATTCCAATATTCCCCCCCTCAAAAACATAATTTTCACGACCTCCAATGCTTGACAACTCCAATAATTCACAGTTCACGCCTATACCTCTCTTCTCTCTCCTCTACCTCTTTCTTATTTTATTTTTGTTCATTTAATTTTAAATTGATCGGAAGAACAAATGCTACACAGAGGTGACAACTTAGATGAACACAATCTAGCCGGAAAAAAAAGACATCTACATACTGACAGACTCATGAACACACCGAGAACTCAGTCCCTCTTAATTTTTTTGGACTAATGAACAAGAAAACCTCTTGTTTATGTCTCTGTTACACCCCTCTAAGCAACAAATTTCGTTTCTTATTCAATCAGGATTAATGATACTTAAATCAAAGAGGATGACAGCCATCTAAATACATCCCCACATAACATTTATTCATAGAAATCATTCATAACCGATTAAAATCCTCTCCTGTAATCTGCAGGAGAGAGAGAGAGAGAGAGACCTGGTTACAGCAATCGCAGGTGAAGGGCAAGAAATCGATGAGCTTGCAATCGTCGACGGAACAATGCTTTCCTAGATTTGGGAAGGCCGGAGTTCCCATGGAGAATTCCAAATTCTCAAGAAAATCTAACAGATCAGAAAAATTCAACTAATGGGTATATGTATAATGAATTGGACCGTAAGGGTTTGGATTCTCAATTCCTGAATTTGTGCCCAGGATTGCGAATTGGGTGTCTGAAACTTTCGATTCCGCGTTGAATGTTTTTCTCAGATAGAGAAATAATCAACAGAACCGAAGGTTCAGACCAAAATGAAAAGACGGTCGTTCGAGGTAGCTTCCTATACCAATAAATTTTGCAGGATAAATTACAGTTACGTCCCTTGAATTTTCATAAAATTGAAAATACACAAACAAAGAAAAATGATATAAATTCAACCCTTAAGAACATCTCTAACCATGACTTAAATTTTTTTTTAAATTTAAATTAATATTTGAGTAAAAAAATTTATTTGATATAAAAGACTCTAATGAACAAACTCAAATTTAAAGAAGGATAGACCCAAATTTAAATGAGAGCAAACCCAAATTTAAAAGGGAGTAAAGATAACCATTAGATCTTTAAAAGATGGTAAAATCTCACAATTAAAAATTTGAATAAAAATTTGAGTCTCCATTTATTTGAGTAAAAAAATGAGTTTTTTTTTAATTTGATATAAGTTTGAGTTAAAAGTTGGAACAAATTTTTTAGACTTTTTTTACTCAAATTTAAATTTGAGTCTAAATTTGAATAAGAGTTAAAGATGCCCTAAGAAAAAGACTAATTATAATAATTCGGTTACACAAACCGATTTTCATAACCTTTTTATTTGAATTTATTTGACAAAATATATTACCTAATTATCATTACACTTGCTCAGGATAGTTATAATTGCGAAGATGACTCCATTCTAAAGATACTAATAAGAATAAATTACGGATAAACATTGCCAACGTATGAAAGTTGGGGGTGAGAAGGAATGATGGAAGGATCCTAACATTAATCATGAACACTTCGGTTAAAGAAAGGGTGTGTGACCTTACATTGCCAAAAGAGAAAAACGCAATAAATGAGTTTAAATCATTATAAATCCCCAATAGGCTAAAGTCCACGGTACAAACTACATTCATGTGAGTTAGTTTTGCTTATACCCTGAATCGTTATTGTTATTGATTTAAGTATTAGAGTGTCTCCAATCAATCATTTCCGATCTCTGACAATATATTCGTTCTGCAAGAGGAGTGGTGCAACATTTCTTGTTTGTTCGTTCCCAACCAAATCACTAGAATTGTAAGAAAGCATACACCTACTATCCATTAATTTTTAAAAAATCGATTATACTATATTTAATTATATAATTTTAAATTAATTTTAAATTTTTTTGTCAATTTTTTCAAAATATATGACCTCAACAAAAATATAAACATATCTGAAATAAAAATTGTAATAAAAAATAATCAAAAATTAAATCATTTAACTTGTCATAGAAATACGTGATATGGTAGAAATAAACAGAAAAAATATATAGGGATAAGATTTAAACTCTTAACTCCCTTATTTTATAGATATTAAAATAGCAAAGTTATGGACAAAAAATAAATAAAAAATCTAAGAATTAAGCAGTATCCTATTAAAATTCAACAGAAAAACATCAAACATAACATTTTATAATCACGGAAAAATAGAGATGGTCATTCGCATGAAAATAAAAGACAATTGTAAGAGATATTACTGTCAAATTAAGAACATAAAACTAACAAATCTTTAAATATGAAAATTTTAATTCAACTGAAGAAAGCCTAAGACAGTAAAAATGTTCAAACATATAAATAAATTAATCGCAACTCGTGGTATCAAAAAATATTGCTGAAGTCTTATGTTCCGTTTGGTAGGGAGGATGAAAAATAGCAGGAATACACTTTCTATCTTGCAAAGATGAAAAGTAAGAAGGATACACTTTCCTTCTTTTGTGTTTGGTTGGATGGATGAAAAAATAAAAATAACTATTTTTTTTTGTGCTGTTAAGATTAGGGGTGACAATAAAGTCGAGTCGTGTCGTGTCAGATTCGTGTTAAGTCATTACGAGTTTTGTGTCGAATATTAGTTAAACTTAACTTAACTCATTTAACTAATTGTGTCGTGTCGAGTTGTGAGTTGACCTATTTATTTTTGTATCGAGGTCGAGTTGTGTTATCGTGTTGAGTTGAAAATTTTTACCCTTAGTTAAGATGGAAAAAATATTTTTTTTAATTTAAAATTTTTATTTTTTTATTTTTTTTAAAATTAATTTTTAAAATATATATATACATATTTTACCATTATATTTTTACATAAAATTAATATATATATATAGACAAATAAGATACATCTCAATACAAATAATTAACTTTTCATTCATTTTCCTTTTGATTTTGGATAGATTAATTTTGGTGAGTTATAAGGAAAGTTAATTTATCAATTTTTTTATCATTTCTACTTTCCTTCCTTACCAAACATGATATTTTATTTATCCCTCTAACTTTTTATCGTTTTAACTTTTTATTCTCCTATTTTTTTATCGTATCAAACGGAACATAAGAGTCATATGGCGGACCAAATGCATTATATGCTAGTAATGTCTGAAACGTATATATCTATACTTCCTGTACAACATATGCCGCGCAGATCAAGACAAGATATGTCAAGTTAGACCCGACCAATGGCTGATCAGGTCAGTTATTGGACAACACAAGATGACAAATAGTTTAAAAACTACGAGAAGGTATGGAGGAGAACTTTCACCAGGAAGCCCTATCTTGGGCAAGAAGACACCGCATCCCGAAGCCATGTTAGCACTTCTAGAAAGCTACATAACGAAAAAATATTCTCTAACAATACTGTTGTGAAAGTAATAATTATCATGTATGTTTGTACTTTCGTTTGTTAGTTTGCACTTGAATAATGCTATGGTTGATAATGATATTTTAGAGGATGATTTATTTAAATTATTTTTAGATACATCATTTGAAATATCTTTGTTATTCCTACGTGATAAGGAACATTGTAGATTAAAACGTGATCTTTTGAATAAATATTCTTTCACCTTATGACACAGGAGATTAAGACACATCCATAAGAAAAATCAATGGATTAGTAAATGATGAGATATTATCAAGCCTTGAATTCACAAATTTTAATACTTGTGTAGACTGTATGAAAGGTAAACAGACTAACAAGTTCAAAAAATATGTCATAAGAAGTTTGAATATGTTGCATATCATACATATAAATATTTGTAGGCCATTCGTGACTCCATGTTTTACAAGCCATCAATATTTCATCACTTTCATAGACGATTTTTCACGATATGGTTTTCTTTACCTTTTGTTTTATAAGGACCAAACCTTAGATGTTTTTAAGATTTTTAAATGAGAGGTAGAGGTACAACTTGATAAAAAGATCAAAATCGTGAAGTCAGTTAAGGGTGGTCAATATTATGGTAGATACATTGAATTAGGACAACACTAAGGTTCATTTGCTCAATTCTTTCAGGAGCAAGGAATAGTGGCACAATATACCATGCTAGATACTCTTGACTTGATGCATCATTACCATTGAATAGATAGTGAGTCTCAATAAATATTGGAACTCACAGTTAAATAAATAACAAATATAACAACTACATCATTAAGTAAAATTTTTAAGTAGTATTGCTCTGTCTATAATTGTGAAGAATTGCAGTAAAACCTTTTTTTTTTGGCTCTTTCAACTTTTTTTTTGATTGATTCTCATTTGTTTCAAAATATTAAAACAACTATTTTTTATTTGTTACATAGTGTCTTTAGATACCAACAATTACCAGTATTATGATAATTGAGAATGTTCAATCTCTTCTTCAATGTTAAGCATTAGTCTAGAAATTTAACAAACAATCATTGTGGCAACCAATCACATTCTACAATTTTTTTTAAATGTATATTATAGACGAATACATTCTAAACAAACCACATAAGTACACTCTTGACATTCGAGTAGGGGATCATTTTTCGTAGGTTTTTCGCAGCAGCAACATCTAGACTTGTTCGTCGCCTGCTTAACAAATGTGAGTGGGTGCGGGTGATATCAACTTGTTGAGTGTCCCCATACTTCATATTTTTAGCTTCATTAAGAATGCATCCAGGATGAAAAGATTGATCGCAATCTTGACAATGATACATCTAATACTTTGGATTCATTTCATTTTCGCAAAATTCACAATGATATTCATCGGGTTAATTGTCCAAAGGGAGATATCTCAGGGTAATGGGATGCCGGTCCCATCTATGCTTGACTGTACGTGGAATCATTAAACACCTGTAATCTACATCGAAATCACAAGCATCGCATTTGAAATTCAACCCAAATGAAATGCGAGATGAGTTGCAAGAATTGTGTGCAGTTCCCCCTCGTACCAAAGGGTGTTGGTGAGCTTGATGTGCCAAACTTTCCCCTAGGCCAGCACAGTTAAGGTCAAGAGTGAATTCACATGTTTCACACCTGTAGAAGAATCCTTTCCTATAAAGGTGGCAGCATTTACATCTAAAGAGGCGACAGGTGTCGGAGAATTTATTCAACTTAAGCGAGTGTTCCGGGTGACTTCCATGAATGAGCTTGTTTGGTTGGCAGGCACATCCCAAGTGTAGAAAGTATTTGCATTGAGAACAACTATAAAATGGAATCGAGATAGGTCGATTGCAACCACCGCATAAAAAGACTTTATCATCATCCCTAACCTCATTGTTACGGATTAAAGAATGCTCGTGGCTCCAATGGTTGATCTACTCAAGGATCCAAGGGTGGATCTCCGGATCTGTCTCGATCTCCTCAAGCCTAATACTTCCAATATATACTGTCGACGGATCTTCAGAATTTTTTTCCACTGGCAATTGCATCCGACTACCAAAAAATTCTTCAATGTTGGCGTCCAAATTGTCAGGGGTCATGGTCTTTAGGCCAAATTGGGTAGGTTCTCTGTGAAAACCCAAAAACCATAATGTGCGTGCAGGATCTTGTACAATATAAACACGAGAACAGATCTCTCCCGTGTTAAATTCGAGTCAGTCAATCAAATGGTCAACATTGCTATTTGGAACAGGCTGAGATCCGTTGGCGGCCCGGAACGGTAATGGGTGACATTCGTAGATCAAAGGAGCGGTCCAGTAAGGCTGAAGGAGGTCCCTGGAACAAAGAAAGACAAGTTAGAAGGGCGCTGAAGTGTTTTTCGGCGTATCCCTTCCGACGATCAAGTCAATTTTTGAGAGAGGGGAAGAAGAAAACACTGAGTATAGGTTTGAGAAAAGGTTTTTTGTTGCATCCCCTCTTGCCTTTTGCGAGGAGTATTTATACTTCAAAAACTCATGATTGCTGTCAGTGTGGTCAGTAGGTGATCATTAGATACGGGCAACGTGCGCACTGATTCTTGAGGAATGTCTTCTCTCTTAATTGCTCGAGACCCCGAGCAACCAATGCTGCGTCATCGGCCTGTCGAATGTTTAATGAGCTCCTCTCGGCAAGGGTGTAATAAATGCTCAGTCTTAGGGACATTTATTACCTTTCACTTTCGAGTCTTACCGCATTAAATGCTGTCTCATCAAGAGAATGATGTAATTAAATGCTTGCTTCCCCAAGTCGTGTGTCAGCAAGGGCATCCGGTCTTTTTGTCTTTGATGTGGCACGATATGCCACGCGCCCATTCCCCATTGGCTGTGTCTTCTACCTTCCTGTGCCTTTTAACACCAATTGTGTAAGACGAGGTCATGATAGCTAACCTAGCCTAGCCTAGGCTAGTGACCTGTACACCAATAGCCTCTGCAGGAGCAGAGAACGCCANGCAGCAACATCTAGACTTGTTCGTCGCCTGCTTAACAAATGTGAGTGGGTGCGGGTGATATCAACTTGTTGAGTGTCCCCATACTTCATATTTTTAGCTTCATTAAGAATGCATCCAGGATGAAAAGATTGATCGCAATCTTGACAATGATACATCTAATACTTTGGATTCATTTCATTTTCGCAAAATTCACAATGATATTCATCGGGTTAATTGTCCAAAGGGAGATATCTCAGGGTAATGGGATGCCGGTCCCATCTATGCTTGACTGTACGTGGAAACATTAAACACCTGTAATCTACATCGAAATCACAAGCATCGCATTTGAAATTCAACCCAAATGAAATGCGAGATGAGTTGCAAGAATTGTGTGCAGTTCCCCCTCGTACCAAAGGGTGTTGGTGAGCTTGATGTGCCAAACTTTCCCCTAGGCCAGCACAGTTAAGGTCAAGAGTGAATTCACATGTTTCACACCTGTAGAAGAATCCTTTCCTATAAAGGTGGCAGCATTTACATCTAAAGAGGCGACAGGTGTCGGAGAATTTATTCAACTTAAGCGAGTGTTCCGGGTGACTTCCATGAATGAGCTTGTTTGGTTGGCAGGCACATCCCAAGTGTAGAAAGTATTTGCATTGAGAACAACTATAAAATGGAATCGAGATAGGTCGATTGCAACCACCGCATAAAAAGACTTTATCATCATCCCTAACCTCATTGTTACGGATTAAAGAATGCTCGTGGCTCCAATGGTTCATCTACTCAAGGATCCAAGGGTGGATCTCCGGATCTGTCTCGATCTCCTCAAGCCTAATACTTCCAATATATACTGTCGACGGATCTTCAGAATTTTTTTCCACTGGCAATTGCATCCGACTACCAAAAAATTCTTCAATGTTGGCGTCCAAATTGTCAGGGGTCATGGTCTTTAGGCCAAATTGGGTAGGTTCTCTGTGAAAACCCAAAAACCATAATGTGCGTGCAGGATCTTGTACAATATAAACACGAGAACAGATCTCTCCCGTGTTAAATTCGAGTCAGTCAATCAAATGGTCAACATTGCTATTTGGAACAGGCTGAGATCCGTTGGCGGCCCGGAACGGTAATGGGTGACATTCGTAGATCAAAGGAGCGGTCCAGTAAGGCTGAAGGAGGTCCCTGGAACAAAGAAAGACAAGTTAGAAGGGCGCTGAAGTGTTTTTCGGCGTATCCCTTCCGACGATCAAGTCAATTTTTGAGAGAGGGGAAGAAGAAAACACTGAGTATAGGTTTGAGAAAAGGTTTTTTGTTGCATCCCCTCTTGCCTTTTGCGAGGAGTATTTATACTTCAAAAACTCATGATTGCTGTCAGTGTGGTCAGTAGGTGATCATTAGATACGGGCAACGTGCGCACTGATTCTTGAGGAATGTCTTCTCTCTTAATTGCTCGAGACCCCGAGCAACCAATGCTGCGTCATCGGCCTGTCGAATGTTTAATGAGCTCCTCTCGGCAAGGGTGTAATAAATGCTCAGTCTTAGGGACATTTATTACCTTTCACTTTCGAGTCTTACCGCATTAAATGCTGTCTCATCAAGAGAATGATGTAATTAAATGCTTGCTTCCCCAAGTCGTGTGTCAGCAAGGGCATCCGGTCTTTTTGTCTTTGATGTGGCACGATATGCCACGCGCCCATTCCCCATTGGCTGTGTCTTCTACCTTCCTGTGCCTTTTAACACCAATTGTGTAAGACGAGGTCATGATAGCTAACCTAGCCTAGCCTAGCCTAGGCTAGTGACCTGTACACCAATAGCCTCTGCAGGAGCAGAGAACGCCATCCTGAACGGGTACGTCTTGATACCGAGGGGAGTGGTATATGTAGGGACCGATGTACCCATATCCAACGAGGGATACATGTCGGTACGTAACGTACTGGGTGTCATTGATTCCCATCAACAGTACCTCGGGGTAACAGGGACTAGAGATCGGGTACATGTGATTACTGTAACAAGATTTTTACTGATGCCGAGGACACGTATCTTCATCTTGGAGTATTTTGGAAATGTCCTATCACATAAAACTTAGAATAAAATTTTAGCTAACAATATCAAAAGCATTGCAATAATTTTGGTAATAAACTTACTTCAGAAAGGGCGAAGGTTCGAAGTCGGGGGCATGGTCTTTAGGAGAAATTGCACAACGTACATGGGCAAAATATCTGCATTGGGCACAACCATATGTCCAAGAATCAGTCCTGATGTGTTTACCACATATTCTGCATTCTTGTTTAAAATTTGTTATATTATGTAAATACTGTTTGATGAGAGTGAGGGGGTGATGGTGATGATGATCAGGGACTTTCATGTTGCTAGGTAATGAAGCACAACTTTCATGGATCCAGAAATGACACGTGTGACATAGATAAGATGAGTCAGTAGATTCTTTTCCACAAGCATTACAATAGAACAAGGCTTCCCTGGATAGAATGTCTAATGGGTGCTCGTGAATTGTGTTTATAGTCACCTCTTCCTGTAAGAAACATAAAATGCAGATGCTGTAGTGCAAGGCCGACAAAAATAGGCCAGCATATTTTTACTTTTACTAATAACACTAGCACCAGAAAGAAAAGCATTGAGGGTTAGAAGGTGTTGGGGGTGTTTAGGGACTTCAATTTCCGTGGGAAGTTTTGCACATCTTTCGTGAAGTAAGTAGTCACATGGCCGACATCGATAGGCATGGTCTAAGGCTCGTTGACAACACCCATTGCACGTAAATGTCTCATCTTCTTCATACTCCAACGATCTCTCAAACACCAGTGGATGGACATGGCTGAAATGTTCAATCTCCCTTTCTAGTTCCATCTCCTCGTGTGTGGGTGCGTATCAATCTGTGTGCTTTGGAGAGAGAGAGAGAGGTGTTGAAAGGTGTAACAGGTTTTGGATCAATACTTCTAAGGTTTTGGATCAATACTTAATTGTTTGATTTATACCGAAGTAAGGGGTGTTAAATGCACTTTAGCATTGAATCAATAGTACTAAAGTCTTTAAGGTCTGGTCTCATAACATGATCCAATCCTTTTAACACAATGACCATTGTGCTAGTTTAGTCCAATTCTACCTTTTAATACTCTAATCATACACATGGAGAGGATTCCAATACTATGCAAAACATATAATAAGTTTCTTGTGGGGAAGATGACATATATGCATTGTAAATAGCTATAAAACCACATGCCATTGTAAATAGTGTTTTAATCGGCAGATTCGACGCCATGAGACATGGGCAGCAGACCCCAAACCGATCTACATTTCAATTGTCAACCTTGATAACTTCTCTGTTACAGCAGCTGTAATTAAAGCATTAGAAAAATCCTATTGGCTCATATATTTCCATCCAATTCTTGAGGCATACTACCAAAAATAATGCAAGTGCATCTGTATAGACATTTTTGGAAAAATTTCAACCACTCCTTCTATTTTACTATATCTTCAAGGATATCATCTCTATTATTAAAAATATCACTGGNATATCTTCAAGGACATCATCTCTATTATTAAAAACATCACTGACACCCCTTTTATTTTATATTTTAACATCACTAACATCCCATGCCGTTAACCATCATTTCTAACAAAAAATATTTATTTAAAATACCAAACATGTCCCTACATAAACCCCAAATAATCTTTTTACATAAAATTCAATTAAAATTGGAACCGACTAAAATTTATTTTTCTATATATTAAAATTCAAACTAATTATGATTCAATTTTTTACATATTAAAATTTAAGCCGATTAAAATTCGATTCGAGCTGATTAAATTTTAATTTTTTTACATATAAAAATTCGAGTTGATTTTACTTTAGTTGTTAGCGTTGATTAAAATTTTCCTTGAATCAATTAAAATTTATATTTTTTTACTTATTAAAATTTGTGCCAATTAAAATTTAATTCAAGCTGATTAAAATTTATTTTTAACGTATTAAAATTTGAGTTGATTAAAATTTATATTTTTTATGTATCAAAATTCGGATCGATTAAAATTCAATGCGAGTTCATTAAAATTTGATTCGAGGTGATTTTTAATCTGCTTGAATAGAATTTTAATTGACTCAAATTTTAATACATAAAAAAATATAATTTTTAATCGACTCAAATTTTAATACGTAAAAAATAAACTTTAATTAACTCGAATCAAATTTTAATACGTAAAAAATAAACTTTAATTAACTCGAATCAAATTTTAATCAGTCCAAATTTTAATACATAAGAAATTTAAAAAATAGAAGGAGTCTCATTGAAGATATGCTTACTTAGAAGGGGTGTGGATGATTTTTTTCCTCAAATACGTCATGAGCAATTTAGTAAAATTGCATTATAATTAATACTTTTAATCTAATTGAAGGTATCCTTGAATATATGATAAACTAAAAGGTGTAGCTAAAATTTTTCCAATATTTTTTTTTTGGAATTCATGTGCACAGGGGATAGTGTTATCGCATGGTGAAGTCTAACGCAATGAGTAGAGTATCAAAATATGACACAATTCGTTAATACAACTTGAATACAAAATGAAATTAGAGGATTTCAGTCTTCCTTAAGTCACCCGTTTAATAAACAAGTGGACTCAACGCGATATCGAAAAATATAAACGATGAGAATATAGCAAATCATGTTCTTGCTCATTGGAGTACAAAAATACTATCAAAGTTTTTCTATTCATGTGGTGTTAGTCTACCGTGCTCATTAGTAGATACTACATTGAATTAGTAATGCAAGGTGATGAGACATTTCTGAAATACTCCAAGATGAAGACACGTGTCCTCGGTATCATTAAATTCTATTACTAATGTCACGTACCGTCGGCTCACAAAGTCCCTCTCTCCTGAGGTACTTTATCATAAGGATCAAATGGCATCCAGTACGTTTACGAACCGACACGTACTCCTCGGTCTGATATGGATACGTTGGTCGCTATATACACAGTCTCGGATCCGAGATAACTTACCCCCTCGGGTTCGAGATGTACCAACATCCAGGATGACATTCCTTCTCTTGCAATGCTACCGATGTACAGGTCACTAGCCTAGGCTAGACTAGGTTAGCTATCATGACCTCGTCGCACAGAACTGGTGTCGGAAAGTACAGGGTGACAGGGACCACAGCCAATGGGGAATGGACGCATGACATGTTGTGTCACATCACAGACAGAAAGACCGCGTGCCCTTGCTGACACACGACATTGGGAAAACCNAAGTACAGGGTGACAGGGACCACAGCCAATGGGGAATGGACGCGTGGCATGTTGTGTCACATCAGAGATAGAAAGACCGCGTGCCCTTGCTGACACACGACATTAGGAAAGCCAGCATTTAATTACACCATTCCTTTGATGAGACTGCATTCAATGCGATAAGACTCGGAAGTGAAAGGCAATAAATGTCTCTAAGGTTGGGCATTTATTGCATCCTCCCCGAGAGGAGATCATTGGACGGTCGGCGGCCCGATGACACAACATTGATTGCTTGGGATTCTCGAGCAGTTAAAAGAGAAGACATTTCTCATCAGAATCAGTGCGCACATTGCCCGAACCTAATGATCACCTACTGACTACACTGACAGCAATCATGAGTTTTTAAGGTATAAATACTCCTTACAAAAGGCAAGATGGTACGCAACAAAAAATACCTTTACTATAACACATACTCAGTGCTTTCCTTTTCCTCTCTCTCAACAACTGATTTGATCGTCGGAGGGGATACGCCGAAAAACACTCCGGCGCCCTTCTAACTTGTTTTTCTTTGTTCCAGGAACCCTTTTCAGCCTTACTGGATCGTTCCATTGATCCACGAGGGTCACCCATCACCGTTCCAGGTTACCACCGGGCTTCACAAACTGTTCCAAGCAGCGGGGTTGACCACTCAATTGACTCACTCGAGTTCATCAAGGGAGAGATCTGTTTTCGTGTTTATATTGTGCAAGATCCTGCACGCACAATCTGGCGCCGTTTGTGGGAAACGACTAGTTTTCCTAGTTTTTTCTTTTTTCATAAAGGACAGTGACCATGGTGAATACTAGACAAAAAGGGAAAGGTCCCCAGCAAAGGAGTCTTGAGTTACGAACTCCACGTCATGATGGAGGAAGAGATCACGCTGATAGGAACACAAATGTCTCCATCAGGTCAGGAGGGCCTACTCCTCAGACCAGTATGGGCATTAGGTCAGGAGGAACCGCCCCCTTAGCTCGCCAACTAGCGGAGGTGATCGAAGAAAAGTTCGGGGACCGATTGCGACAATTAGAAAAAGACAATGTGAACGTCCTAAGCCGGCTCAACGAATTCGCCGTCTCCGGCGAAGGGTCGAAGGACTCATTTTTTTCTTGGGGACTCCCTTTCCTGAAGGCACAAACGATGGACTTAAGGGACCATTTGAATCACAAGGCAGAAAGCTCTAGGGCCCCAAAGCGACCCAGAACCGACGAGCGCCCTCTAAACGACCGATCCAGGAAGGTAAGACCTTTGGCCCTGGACGACCTCCGATGAGGGCTGTCGAGACGGAGGAAGGGAGATGAGTCCGAGGAGGATTCAAACCTATCCACACGACCAGAAAATGGGGGACCTGCTGACAAACTCAGAGAATTCAGAAGACACCCCGTTGGGGGGGAAAATGATCTCAGGGCTCGATTGGAATCCAGAAGGAAGGACAAGGCTGTCCTAGGTGACGCCGAAGATGAGGTCATGCAATCACCCTTTACCAAGGGTATCACAGAAATAAACGTACCAAAAAAGTTCGTCGTGCCAAGATTCAAAACCTATGATAAGTGGTCCGATCCCGAAGCCCACCTGAGGCAGTACAAGCAAATGATATCCCTGTATCATTCAGACCAACGACTCCTCTGCCGAGTGTTTCCCATGAGCTTGGGGGACTCCTCGATGAAGTGGTTCGAGTCTCTTCCCCCTAACAGTATTGGGACATGGAAGGAGCTGACGAGACAGTTCCTGGCCCGATTCATTACGGGAAGCAAACGGCCTAAAGACGTTGGATCGTTGCTAACACTCAGACGAAGGGAATCCGAGGCCCTCGGCCAGTATGCCATTCGGTACTGGGAAGAGGTTAACGAGGTAGAAGGCTGCTCGAAAGTCATGGCAGCAGCGTCTTTTAGGCTCGGCTTGGCAAGGGACATGGACCTGTACCGATCCCTGACCAAGAAGACTCCCTCGGATATGGGCGAGCTGATGGCCCAGATAAACAAATACTCGAGGATCGAGGATGAGATAGGGAGCAATAAAAGCCGAACCCTCCAATCTAAGAGAAAAGAAAGGGAACGGAAGGATACTCCCCGAAAGGGACTACTACCCCCTCCAGGGGGGTCATCCAAAGGAATTCACACCGTGTTCAAAGAACCCATTTTCAAGTTGCTCCACAAGATAAAGCATGAGCCATTCTTCAAGTGGCCGCCCAGGATGCAGAGCGATCCCTCCACCCGTGATCAAAAGGTTAGGTGTTCCTATCACCGGGATTTTGGACATCGTACCAAAGACTGCAGGGTATACAAATCGCTCTTGGAAAGGTTGGTCCGAGACGAATACTTGAAAGAATACATAGACCCCAGACCGGAAGAGAGACAAACCCCTGCCCTGACCGAGAAGCCAGACAACGTCATAGATGTCATCCATGTATGTCCACTATATCGCCCCACGTCCAAAGAACTCGAGTCCGATCTCAAGAGGGTAGCTTTTACAAGGAAGGTAGCCGAGGATGAAGGGAGGCCACCCAGTAAAAGGGCCAGGACTGGGGAGCCCAGTATCACGTTCTCCGACGCAGACTTAACGGGCGTGGTGATTCCTCATAACGACGCCCT